ATTGTGAAATTAAAAAAACTTAAGATATCAGTAAAGTGAACACCCATTACTGCAAGTGTATTAGAATTATTTAATTTATGATATTTCTCACTATACTGTTAATTAAATGTGAGCCCAAGAAAGATCATAAGTGACTCAAAGTTATGGGGTTACAGGTTAAGCCTTTTAGCATTGAGCAACCAATTCGAATTTGATCTAAGCAGGTGATAAAGGAAAGCTACTGTTATATGATATTGGTTTGATGACTCATGTCAAATGAATTAGTAATCTCAGCTCTATTTCTGGTGGACAGGTGTCCAAAGACAATTGTCCTTGATAGCCTTTCCAGGAAAACTAAGGATCTAAAGAATATGAAGAGGGATCTACCTTCCCTGAAATGTTAAACTCTCTAGGGTTGTTGTTCATTAGAAAGCATACTGTTTAAGCTATGCTTTATACAGCCATGTGCCTAGCCTATAAAACTTCTTTGAGAATAAAAGGGATCATGGTGGCTTAATAAGACCCAGAGCGTAGGCCAAATGAGAATCAGATGGTCAACCTAAAAGAAATTCAATATCTTCTGCTTCTAACTTCTTTTCTTTTTTCTCTTTGGTTGTCATGGGACTGTTTTGTTATTTTTGTGGGGGAGACACTAAATATATTTGCTACAAGAAGATATGTATATCCTACTTAATGAGACAGCCAGAGAGAAGTGTGATTGGGTAGGAGAATAGAGATTAGCTAACACTGGTAATTCTAGAAAGACAAAAAATTAAACTTTGTGATCATGATACTTTTGAAAATCATTTGCAAGACTAGCTACAGTATTCTAAACTCAAATAGTATGCACTTAACAAATGTTAATTTAATTTATTTGGATTAATTAAATACTTGGATATATATTTAATGCATTTTCAAAACTATGTGGAGTATGTTGAAATCTACTCTTGGGGTAAGAGGTAGTCTGCTGAGTGTATTTTCTGGTGTATTACCTGAAGTAAGAAATGGTGGGAGACAAGAATCCAAAGATTATGGTGAAAATACCTTAGCTATTCAGTTGGAAGACCTGGGTTCAAGGATCAGCTCTTTATTTTACTTTATGTGCCTGTTTTACCAAGTCATTTCATTTCTTGGAACATCAGTTTCCTCATCTATAAAATGATGGGACTGGATTTAATGTTCTTTGCCCTGTGATTCACTACTTGTATAACATTAGGCAATTAATTGAATTTTTTAATCTGTAAAATGAAAGGGTTCAATCCGATGATCTCTAAATTCTCTTAAAGGTCTAATTCTATGATGATTTGAACTGCACGGTCCCTTCATGTTCTACGATCTTAATGTTCCTTTCTATGACGAGCTGAAGAAATAACTATCCCTTTTTATTACATTCATAATTTCTTTAAATATTGCTTTCTCTTTTTCATCAAAATTGTGACTTCAGTTTTACATGCAGTTTGATGTAAGTCATAGGAGGAAAAATATAAAGTCTCTAGGATATAGTTTTGTCATTTCTTTTATATGGTTTTGCTTGTGGCAAGAATGCCAGAGGTAGAAACAGATTTGTGGGCATGCATAGGCACTTGTTTATTGTATTTTTTTCAACTGATGCATTTGAAGTGTTCACATTATTTGTGTATCTTCATAAATAAGCCACTAACATAATGAGCAAATCTGAACCTATGCCCTCTTCTCTCCCTCTCTACTACTCGATGATCTCATTAACTCCCAAGGATTTAATTACCATCTTTATGCCAATTATTTTCGAATCTACCTATCTTGCCCTAATTTCTCTGTTGATTTCCATTCTCATATATTTACCTCCCATTGAGACATCTCAAACTGGATTCTAGCAGACATTTTGAGCTCAACATGTCCAAAAGACATGTGATCTTTCCCTCTAAAACCTAACCTAATCCTTTTCCTATTAATTTCAAGGACAACACCATCTTTCCAGGCCCTCCAACTTATAACCTAGGTGTTATATTTGACTCTTCTCTATCTCTCATCTCCTTCCCCCATATCCAATTTGTTGCCAAGATGTATTGATTTCACCTTCACAACGTCTTTCAAATATGTCCCTTTCTTTCCTCTGGTGTTGTCATCATTCTGGTGCAGCCTTTCATGACCTCATGTCTGGATTATTGCAATGGCTTGCTGATAGACCTGCCTGCCTCAAGTCTCTCCCCACTCAAATTCATCCTACATTCAGCCACAAAAGTGATTTTCCTAAAGCACAACTCTTACTATGCCATACCCCTCCTCAAACTTCAGTGGCTCCCATTCATCCCCATTATCAAATCCAAAATGCTCTGCTCTCATCTCATTACACCTTACTCACTGCATTGTACTCTTCAATGTAGTGACACTGGCCTCCTTGCTCTTCCAGAAACAAGACACTCCCTCTCTCACCTCCAGGCATTTTCTCTAGCTGTCCTGGATGACTTTTTTTTTAATTTAGAATTTTATTTTCCCCCAATTACATATAAACATTCATTTTAAAAATTGAGTTCCAAAATTCTCTTTCTCCCTCCCCACCTCCCTCATTGAGAAGGCAAGAGATCTGATATAGGTTATGTATATATACACACACCCACACACACACACACACACACACACACACACACACACATATATATATAATATTCATATATATATACCTATATACGTAGTCATGCAAAACATATTTCCACATAAGTCATATTGTAAAAGAAAACATAAAACAAAAAATTAAAAAACCCGAGAAATATAAAGTAAAAAATAAGTATATTTCAATCCGTATTCAGAGTTCATCAGTTCTTTGTCTGGGAATGGATAGTGTTTTTCATCATACAGCGTTGTCTTGAATCATTGTATTGCTGAGAACAGCTACATCATTCCTAGTTAATCAGCTTACAATTTTGCTATTACTGTATACAATTTTCTCCTGGTTCTACTCATTTGTTTCACTCTGCATCAGTTCATGTAAGTTGTTCTAGGTTTTTCTGAGGGCATCTGGCTCATCATTTGTCATAACCAACAATATTCCATCAGAACAACTTGCTCAGCCATTCCACACATGAGGGCATCCCCTCAATTTTTAATTCTTTGCCACCAGAAAAATCTGATATAAATATTTTTTTTTGCATATAGATCCTTTTCCTTTTTTTTTTTAAATCTCTTTTGGGATATAGACGTAGTAGTGGCATTGCTAGGTCAAAGAGTAATGAATGTTTTTATGAGTCTTTGGACATAGTTCCCAGTTGCTCAACATAATGGTTGAATAAGTTCACAACTCCACCACCAGTGTGTAAGTGTCTCAATTTTCCCTCATCCTTTCCAGCATTAGTCATTTTCCTTTTTCATTCTAATAGCCAATCTAACAGGTGTGGGGTAGTACCTCAGTTTGTCTTAACTTGCATTTCTCCAATCAATAATGATGAAGAACATTTTCTCATATGATTATAGACTTTGATAACTTTATCTGAAAACTCTTTGTATTTTATCAACTTGAGAATGATTCTTATTCCCATAAATTTGACTCATTTCTCTATATTTTTGAGAGATAAAGATTTTATCAGGGAAACTTCCCTCAAAAATTTTTTTTCACAGTTGCAATTGCTAACTGTACTTCCCTCCTCACTGTTTATTCTATTCTTTGTCTCCTTTCACCCTGTCCCTCCTCAAAGGTGTTTTGTTTCTGACTACCCCCTCCCCCAATCCACCCTCCCTTCTATGAGAATCTCCCCACTTCTCTTATCTCTTTCCTTTCTACTTGCCTGTAAGGTAAGATAGATTTTTATACCCAATTGAGTGTATATGTTATTCCCTCTTTGAGTCAATTCCGATGAGTGGAAAGTTCAAGCATTTCCTTCTGCCCCCATCTTTCCCTCCACTCTAAAAGTTCTTTCATGCCTCTTTTATGTCAGATAATTTACTCCATTCTACTTCTCACTTTCTTTTTCTCACAGTGCATTTCTATTTCTTACCCCTTAATTTTATTTTTTAAGATACTATCCAGAGTTCAAAGTCCAGGACCAAGATGGAGGAGTAAGAAGTCAGTTGCTCTCACCCTCCCTTATTGACCTCCAAAAGCCCAAAAAATATCACCCCAGGAAAAACCCTGAAACAGCTGAATCAGCAGAAAGATGGGGTGCAGCAGTCTTGTAGCCCAAAAAGCTTAGGGGTTTAATGGGAAAGGTCCCTCTTGTTCTGGGGGAAGGGGAGTAGTACAGAAGGGGAGGCATCTCAGCAAGCCAGTGGAAAGCCCCACCTCAGCGCACCAGCGGGAGATCAGAAAACCACCATGTGTGATGGTGTTATCTGGCTGCCAAGTCTCCTGGTGCCTCAGCAAAACTCTGGGAAGGACGACTTCAAGAGGTAAAGCTCCAGGCTTAGAGATGTCCTCCAGTAGTGAAACATCCCTGTACAAGGCCTGGGTGAGCAGGAACCAAAGAAAGGAGATCAAGGCCTGGGTGAGTGGACATCCTCCAGGGGCCAGATTCCCCAATCCTACCCCTGGAGTTGCAGTGTTGCTAATTCCAGCCCAACACCAGGTAAGCTGTCAGAACCCTACAGCCTCCAACTGCCAGCAACTGAGGCCCTAGCACACAAAGTCAGGGACCAGGCTCCAGGCTCCCAGCACAAAAAACTTGGGTCAGTGCCCCTTTCTCTCTAGTAGTAGAGCTCATTGTTTTTTAAAAGTCAGGAAACAAGAAAACACCATGAGCAAAAAGAAATGTACAATGACCATAGAATCTTATTATGGGAACAGGGAAGATCAAGGCATAAATTCAGAAGAGGACAACATTGTGTACAAACTCACATCCAAAACCTCAAAAGGGAATATGAACTGGTCTAAAGCCCAAAAAGCCTTGGAAGAACTCAAGAAGTATTTTAGCCCCTTACCTCCTTCTCTTACTCTTCACCCTTCCCTTTTTCTCCCCTTCCTTCCCCCCTTCCCTCTTCTCCCCTCCCCTATCCTCCCTTCCCCATTCCCCCATCCCCATCCTTCCCTCCTTCCCTTCCCTGGCCTAGACAATGTCATGGTGGAGGTGGCCAAGGAGGCCATGGAGCCTACCAAGGTGGACATCACGAGGCTGTGCCAGGACATGTTCTCCAAAATGGCCATGTACCTAACAGGGGAGCTGACAGCCACCAGTGAAGATTATAAACTTCTGGAAAATATGAACAAACTGACTAGCTTGAAGTATCTAGAAATGAAAGATACTGCAGTAAACATAAGTAGAAACCCAAAGGACTTAAACAAGAAATATGCAGCACTTCGGCCTTACCTGAATCAGATCACTTTAATTGAGGAGCAAGTAGTAGCTCTTGAGCAGGCAGCTTACAAGTGGGATGCATATTCAAAGAAACTAGAAGCAAAGTACAAGTTAGAGAGGCAATGAAAGAATTCATTAGCACAAAGACTTTAACTACAAGAATGTTTTATAAGAGCTGAGGTAAGTGGGATGGAACTTATCCCTCTGCTTCAATTCCTAAAAGGAAGTGGTGCTGCTGATTCAAGGAAAATCCCAGCCCTCACCTCTGGTTGGATATGTAACTTTGGCCACCCCTTGATGTTTCCTAAACCTGTAGCTGCATCTTATCATGTGCTTCATTGTGTGCCCTAGACCAAGGTTCAGAAATCACGATCAACTCCGCCTGGAGCAGACACAGAGGAGAGGCTCTTGTCTCCCTGTCTCCTCCCTTCTTCCCTCTCCACTAGGGTACACCCCTCCCCCTTCATAACCTGTTTTTCAACTTAAATAATAAATGCCACCATGAAAAAAAGAAGTATTTTAAAAGTCAAATAAGAGAGATAGAAGAAAAAATTGGAAAAAGAAATGGTAGTTTGGAAAAGGAAGGACAAAAATTAACTGTAGAAAACAAGTCCCTAAAAAATACAATTGGCCAAATGGAAAAAAAATACACTGAAGAAAACAACTGTTTAAAAAGCAGAATTGGCCAAATGGAAAAGGAGGCACAAAAACTCACCAAGGAGAAGGACTCTTTAAAAAAATTGGGCAAAATGGAAAAGGAAGTACAAAATCTAATAGAAGAAAACAATGTTTAAAATTTAGAGTGGGCAAGTGGAAACTAATGACTGTATGAGAGAGCAAGAATCAAGACAAACAGAAACAAAAGAATGGAAAAATAGATGAAAATGTAAGATATCCTCCAATCATATTCAATTCACACATGTATCCTCTGTCTGTATATACTCCTTCAAGCTACCCTAATAATGAGAAAGTTCTTGTGTTACAAGTACCATCTTCCCATATAGGAATGTAAACAGTTTAACCTCATTAAGTGTCTTATGATTTCCCTTTCCTATTTCCCTTTTTATGTTTCTTTTTGGTCTTGTATTTGAAAGTCAAATTTTCTATTCAGCTCTGGTCTTTTCAACAGGAATGCTTGGAAGACCTCAATTTTATTGAATGTCCATTCCCCCCACACCTGAAGGATTACACTCAGTTTTGCTGGGTAGGTGATTCTTGGTTGTAATCCTAGCTTCTTTGCCCTCTGGAATATCATATTCCAAGCCCTCCAATTCTTTAATGTAGAAGCTGCTAAATTTTGTGTTATCCTGACTGTGGCTCTATGATACTGGACGTGTTTCTTTCTGGCCACTTAAAATATTTTCCCTTTGACCTGGGATCTCCAGAATTTGGCAATAATGTTTCTGGGAGTTTCATTTTCTGGTATCTTTCAGGAGGTGATCAGTGGATTCTTTCAGTTTCTATTCTACCCTCTAGTTCTAGAATATCAGGGCAGTTTTCCTTGATAACTTCTTGAAAGATGATGTCTAGGCTCATTTTTTGATCATGGCTTTCAGGAAATCCAATAATTTTTAAATGATCTCTCCTGGGTCTATTTTCCAGGTGAGTTGTTTTTCCAGTGAGATATTTAAGATTGTCTTTTATTTTTTCATTCTTTTTAAAATTTTTTTAAATTTTTACTTTTTTTTGTTTTATTGCTTCTTGTTATCTCATGGAGTCATTAACTTCCACTTGCTCAATTCTAATTTTTAAGGAATGATTTTCTTCAGTGAGGTTTTGTACCTCCTTTTCCATTTAGCCAATTCTGTTTTTTAAGGAGTTCTTCTCTTCAGTGAATTATTGTATATTTTTTGTGCCTCCTTTACCAAACTGTTGACTCATTTTTCATTATTTTCTTCTGCCACTCTTATTTCTTTTACTCTACCTCTCTTATTTGATTTCCAAAATCTTTTTTGAGCTCTTCTATGGCCTGAGACCAATTCATATTTTTCTTAGAGGCTTTGGATGTATTTCTTGACTTTTAGCTGCTTGTTAAAGTAGGGCTCTGCTTCCAGGGCAGAGGGCACACTGTCCCAAGTTTCAGGGATTTTGTGCAGCTGTTTTCAGAGATACTTCTAGAGACCTGTAAGATTTCATTTGTTCTAAGGTAGTATGATCTAAGGAGAGTTGTATTTATTGCTCTTCTGGCAACTGTTCTGGTCTGTGAATGACCACAATCACTCTTTTCTGCCTTGGAACTATGATCAGGGTCCCTGCTCCCCTTCAGCCTCAAGCTCTGGTGTACTAGTGCAGTGCTTTTGAAAATGTTGGTTGTGACCTCAGGTTTGTGTAATTGAATGTAGGAATTGCAAAAAATTTGGCAATAGTAAAAGGTTTCTGAACATGCAATGACCAAAAATTAATGAATCTGAGGTGTTTCTGGCAGTGCTAGCCCATGTTGCATTGTATGACTTCACTGCAGCCTTGGTTCCGAACACACAACATGAGCATTTTGCACTGTGAATGCTGCCATGAGGCACAACACCAGCAAATACTGCCAGAAAGACCTAGGCTCAGATTTGAGAACTATTGTATGTTATGCAGTGTTTTTACTGTATGTACAAAGTTTTCTGTTCTTATAGAAACATAATCGTTTAATTAATGAAAATCAAGACTTTTAATATTTTCCTACTGTCATTCCTCATCATGTCAGTATCAGATTAGTTAATCTTTGGATTGTATTGTGTTAGAATATATGATTTTTAAACTTGCTGTTATTTCCTTCTTTTACAAAAATGTGTTTAATTATAGCAAATAAATACAAAAGCCCCTTAATATTTCTCCACCATCACCACTGTATGTGTACATAAGTGTGAACATCAGCTTTTTAAATTAAGCACAAATGTAATTTCATAACTAAAACTAGTATTTATTTGAAAAATTATTTAGCAATATTTATTTATATTTAAAGACAAAATATTTTTTAGTTGTAGATAAGTGGCTAAATTTAGACAGAAGAAATAAAAATAGCAATGACAATGAGGCAGTCTTTATCACCAGGTTGTATTACACCTAAACTGACAAGAAAAAGAAAGTATGTAGAATCATTTTTGCAATATGGTTTTACTTCCAATAAGGATGATGGTGTAGAAAAACCTCTTTGCTTAATTTGTAATGAAGTTTTGGCTGCAGAGAACTTAAGTCCACTCAAACTAAAACAACATCTTAATTTCAGGCATGCAACATACTGCAATAAATCAAAGGACTATTTTGAATGACTTTTGAAATCTTCAAATAAAGAAAAACAATGTTTTTAGAAATTTGTTATTGTCAATAAAAAGTATTTACTTATATCTTATGAAGTTTCTTGTTTAATTACAGAAACTAAAAAGTTTGACATAATAGGAGATCTTGTGTTACCTGCTGCTATTAAAATGTCAAAAATAGTTCATAGGAAAAAGCATGGGGATGAAATTCATAAAATTCCCTTATCAAATGGTACCATTTCTAAAAGGATTTCTGAAATTAGTAATGACCAATTCCAGCAGTTTATTACCAGATTAAGGGCAGCCCAAAGTTTCCAGTAGAGAGACCCCTGTAATCTCCTTCTGACCAGTTGTTTGACCCCCTTACTATCTGTGGCCTGAGAGCTCCAGAAGCAGCCACTGCTGCTGCTGATTCACTCACTCTCAAGGCCTGTACCTGGTTTGCTAAGACCCATGGCCTGGCCTGCACTGGATTGTACTCTACTCTCACCCCAGTGCCATAGACCTTTCCTGATGAACTTCCAAGTTGTCTTGGACTAGAAAATTGTTTCATCCTGTCCTTTTGTGGGTTCTGCCACTCCAGAATTTTAGGGCATTATTTAACTCCAGTTAATTGGCATTTAATGCAAATCCATCATCTTTGGAGGGGTTTTGGGGAGAGCTCAGGTGAGTCCCTGCTTTCTCTCAGCCATCTTGGCTCCACCCCCTATGACAAATTACTCTTCAGTGGGTCATGTAGGGGGAATTCATAAGGTCTATGTTTATTAGTTGTACTACATATGATACTAACATAGAAATTATGATTGTGGCTGTCCCCTTAGGGACTAAACTCTTGACTAGGAGTTGAGGGAGTAACCCAGTTGGATATCACACTTGCCAAGGTCTGTTCATCCTTTCAAAAATAAATCATTAGCCCCTCTATGCCCTAAAGCTATCTCTAATATATCATCATTCCCTTTCATAATCAAATTCCTCAAGAAAGCTGTCTTCATTGCCTCTGCTTCCTGTCGTCTCACATACTTTTCAACCACTTGCAATCTGATTTTTGATCATACCATCAAATTGAAACTGGTGTCTTTAAGATTACCAATGATCTCTTTATTTCTAGATTCTATGACCTTTTCTCGATCCCCATCTTTCTTGCTTCTCTGCAGCATTTGGCACTATGGACCACCCTCTTCTCCTGGTTACTCTCTCTCTCTTTCTCTTTTTTCTGGTTACTCTCTCTTGTCTGGGTTTTTGCGACACTGCTTTGCCTTGATTTTCCTTCAGTCCAGTTTTAAATCTGTCCAGCCAATTCTTCTCAGTCTTCTTTTCCTGAACATCATTTATATCCCATCTATTACTATAAGTGTACTCCAAGTCCCTGTACATAGACCCTCTTCTTTTGTACCTTAACATGGTCTTGGTATTCTCTTTGAGTCCTATGTTTTCATCAATGATCTTTATGAGGATGATCCCTGTATCTGTAATAACAAATCTAGTCTTTCTCTAGAGCTTGAATAGTATACCACCAGCTACCTGATAGACATCTCAAGATAGTTATCTCATAAGCATATCAAACTCAACACGTCCAAAATAGAATTCATTATCTTTCCCTCAAAACCTGTCTTCCTATCTCCCTTCTTTCTGTCATGAGTGCCACTATGCTTTTATTAGCCCAGATCTGCAACCTAGATGTTCTCCTTGATTCTTCAGTCTTCTTCATATGCACCACATTCCCTCTCCCCAGTCTGTCTATTGACAAATTTGTTGATTTTATTCAGGAGTGTGCTGGTAAATGTTTAAGAACTATCCCTCTGGGAAAAAAAAATGCATACATGACATACTTTTAAATTTAATCTCCATATTAACTAGTTTTCGATTACTTCCATAAGTCTA